AACTGAATCGCGCAGTTTCAGCATCTCCGTCCGTGTGATGGGTGTGAGCAGGCTCAGGTACTCCTGAAGAAATTATGCAGTCTTGCATGGACGTAACTATTCAGTTGCTGCACACCATTTTAAAGATTACAGTGATGTCGCAGCACCAGTTCCTGGGGCCTTAGCATCTTTGAGTTGTGCTGGGTGAGATATCTAAGTCTAAGTGCCTCCTAGTCACTTGTACAGATGTCTGGGATGGCAGCTGCCGCGGGCTTAGCGGTGGCCTAACATCACCGTCATGTCCGCATCGGCAGATGCCCTCAAGACACTGGGCTCCTCGGCTTCAGACGTGTGGCCACGAACGCGGCGTCCTCGATGTGCTTTTTGCTCCTGGAGACGCAGCATCTCAGGCTTGGAGCTGGGATGCAGCCAGCAGGCTGGGTTTCGGGTTCAGTGAGCCGCTGCGCCCGACGTCTGTGCGGTTGCAACGAACGAGGACGTGACGGGGGCTTTCCGGAAACTAGCACGCCAGCATCATCCGGACAAGGGAGGCGATCCAGCTGCAGCGAGTACATTCAGGTGAAGCCACGCCATCTAGGCTAGCCAAATTGCGCCAAGATGCGCCAAGCGTGTCGTTGAAATAAGGCGACAAAGAGGCATTCCAGAAATTGAGTGCTGCAGCGTGGCTGGCAATTTTCTACAGAAGCGGTGAGGCTCGTTCGGTGAAGGAAAGCTTGGCGAGTCCTATGATGATTATGATGTCGTGTCGACAGAAACTCCGTTGCCAGTTTCGACGGACAACTGATCATCGCCTCATCAAACTTCAGCAGCACTCTCGCTGCGGGCATTCACGACTAAGGCCTACGAGCTGCTCAGCACCTCACTGCCATGCGCCTCCGAGACGCAGCCATGCGCTGCCGCGCCCAAGGCAGGTCGGACACCTTTGGATACCAGTTACTTGGGCACCACTGCCCTTTGCAAGGGTCACAGAGCTGAAGTCTCGCGTGTTTCTTCAATCCAGGCTCCGAAGCGAAATGCTGAGTCGGATCGCTTCCAGCGTATGTGGGCAGAGGCTGGTTGGGTGGAAAGAGCCGAACTGGGGGACAAGGTGCTTAGAACTAAGAAGGTCGGGTCGAAGCTGCAGGGGAGATCCAGCCGTTCGGTTACTGTTGTTTTGGCTCGTAAAGCACCAGTTCCAAGCCAGAGATATCATGGCAACGCACGTCCGGCTTCTACTGAAGTTCCGTACTGACTACGATACCTCTTTGTAGCTTGCAAACTCCTAAAACGAGCGATGCGAATTTCATCTAGTCTGCTCTCAAATTATGATTCCTCTAGTGTGCTTTCTGCTGTTCAAATTGAGAAATCAGTGCCCGGGTGGAGGTCTTCGGAGATTTGTGCATGAGCAGAAGAGCGACATTCCATGAGTCTGTCATGCTGGCCAGGCACAACGCCAAGCAGCTGTTGAGCGCGCCAAGCGCAAAGCGGCAGCGGCACGCGCAGCATCGCAGACTAATGCTGAGCGGGCAAGAGAGGCAAGGTGTCAAGTGGGAGAGCGAAGGGTTTTGAAGTTTTGTTGCTGCCAGCGAATGCATATTTGATTGTGCTGTGCAGGAAGGTCGCAGGCGCAAAAAGCAGCGCGAAGAGGAGGAGCTCGGAGAATAGCGAGTAGTTTCTGCAGCTGCCAAACCGTTTTTGAGGCCTAGCCATGCATGACCAATGCATACGAAGGCCTGTCATTGAGCAGCGGACAGTCTACATCAAGATTCTTCTATGCAAACATATGGCTAGTTCTCCAAATTGGGGCCCCTTTTCAGCTTCCAAAATGGTATCTTCCTGGGTCCTAAAATAGTACGACACCCTTATTAAAAAAGCCCAATAGGACCCTGAACTGGAGAACTACTACTCGTACCCTAATATGCAAACGCTTTGAGCCACTTGAGCAGGAGAAGCGTTGCACGGAGGAGTGGGAAGCTTTGAGGCCGCCTGCAAGAGTTTGAGCTTACCCGAATTCGCCAGTGCTCGGATAGCTGGCAGGCGGGAGCTCGCGCAGCAGCGCGCTGCGAATGCGCAGCGTTTTGCACAACGCCGTGCGAAATGGTCTGCGCAGCACCGCCCGGGCCTTGATATGCAGTGAGATGTGGCAATGGAGCTGTCCGTAAAATTATCCAATCTCCATCTGTCTGGCTGAGGTGCTCACGTCTCCGGCGTCAGCTATGACATGCAGGCCCGCCGATCCTTTGGATTTTGGTGCCTCACTTCGATTCGGGCTTGTTGCTAGCATTCCACTTTGGATCCAATGATGCTGGAAGTACAAGTGAATGTAGAGCTCCTTGGTTGCATGATGCACTGAAGTGGTTTACCCGAATGTTGCAATCCTTTAAGAAGTCCTTAAGACCTTACATGGTTGATTTGAGCAGTTGCTGAGCCCTGTCCTCCCTCCCTCCGTCCTCCCTTCTGCTCCTTCTTCCCTCCCTCTCCCTCTCCCTCCCTCCCTCCCTCCTTCCCTCCTTCTCTCCACTCCCCTCCCGCTCTCCTCTCCCTCTCCCCCCGTCCCTCCCCATCGTATTTCCCCGTTCAGTGACCGGCCGGAGCCGTACAAGACACAAGCTTGCATGACTTTGGAAGCAAGCACTTCAGCTCCTTCAGGCAGCTTCCTTTTGAAGTTCGGTTCGTGGCCTGCCGGCGATGTTTTTCGGCCCGTGAGGCTGAAGCGCTGGAGATCTTACGATGGCTTCGACAACAGCAGGGCTCTGGTTCCAAGCGGCCACGGCCGAGTGACAATGAAAAGTCGGAGCTGCTCGGCTAAAGGCTTGAAAACACACTGTGCGAAACACTGTTTGTCGGCTGGACCTTCGTCAGCCCACAGAGGCCTCCTCCCAAGCTGGCCCGCGTGCTTCAACGTGGGCGTGGCAGGGCTTCGGCAGAATGAGGCCACCATATGTGCGGACTTCGCAGTATTTGCACAAGTCATGCGCAGCATGCTGGTTCTGATTCGAGATGATTCGAGCATGCTCCATGTGGTCGCTTCAGGCAAAAGGTTCATTCGGTTGCAGATGGCACAAGGCATGAGTGTAAAGCTCCCGCTAGGTCCGGCTCGACGCTTTTTGCCTGGATGCGGGCTTATGAGCGCGCCGAACTTCACAAGCTGTCAGGGAACCATGAAGCGCAAGTCTGGACATCCGACAAAATGTCGAGGCAGTACTTGCGCCTTTCTTGATGCCCAGAAAAATCAGACTTTGTTGAGACAAGGGTTTGCTCTACGATCTAGAATCCAGCTTCCTTTCGACCAGGGTCCCCATAGGAAGAATCGCCTCTTCACCCGCTTCCCGGGCGGGCGCAAAGGCGAGCTCGAGGGGTTGGAAGGGACGGGTCATGGAAGAAGATGGCAAATGGCCATGCGCAATCCGAAAGTTGCGTTTTTTTATCAATCCCTCAGCTCCCTCTGCGCAAGCGAGCAATTTGTCTTCGCCTTCCCGCGGTCAAAGTGACCTACAAACGTCGGTCAGCAGAGCTGCGGGCGGAAAGGATTGACATGCCCTGTGATGCAACCGCTGTTTTTACAAACTTCACGCATTCGATATGTTAGGCTGCACGCCTGCCAGCAGCACCCAGTTTCCTGCCAGGTGGGGAGGATCTGCACTGGTTGCTCGACATGGCCAGAGAAGTTGCTACATTCATGCTTTTGATGACATTTCTGCAAGCAAAGTTTCACTCTCTCTGGTCCTCCATGGCGTCGCCACACCCTTTGAGGACTTCGATGGTCCGGCATGGCATGATGCGAAGTTGCCTGCAATCTCCAAGGTTTTGTATGATGATCGCACCAGTGATGTCACAGTGGTGCAGCCAAACGAGGACGCAGTGTCAATTCTCTCGAAAACAGACGTCGTAGCAACGCCGATTGTGTGCAGGACGGTTCCTACTGGCGAAAAGTGCAGCACCAAGACGTGCTGCAGCTCACACGTGTCTCAACCGTCCTGTCGTATTTAAATCCAATCGCTTTTGTCAACAAAGGTGGTGCGAAACAAGGTGCACCGGATGAAGGAAATGCGACGAATGAAGGCGGCAGAGCGCTGGGCCAAGAAGGCCGGAGTGAAGGTCAGCAGAGTGAAAGGCGAAAGAGACCCTGTTTCATTTCGGCCTATCGCTTCGGACACCACTTTTGGAAAGGGTGTCGGTGTTGCAGTAGGCCCAAGAATTTGTTGCGCTCGCTCGAGACAATATTTGGAACTATGGCAATGCAGGAGAAGCAACTCGACAAGGCTGGAGCATGTTCAGACCTCTAAGTTTCGGCCACATGCAGCCACTGCGCCCTTGTTTTTGCAGGTCACGGTGCTCTCTTCCTACGGGCCGTACAAGACAAGCTCTAGCAAGGCGCGGCATTCTGTCTAAAGCCAGTCATGAGTCATCCCTCTTCCTGCCATTATTCTTCACCAATGCAGCTCTCTCCTGTCTTTTTCCAGAACACAAGATAGTCTGGCCTAACCGTGTCAGAAGTGAGAAAGGTCATGGACCTGTCCACTCGAGCCATCGATCCAAAGGCCGGGTCGCTTTTGAGAAGTTTGTGGCAAGTGCTTAGACGACTACGAACAAGTTTCCAATGCTTGCTGTGAGTAACATCTGTGAAGGTACCGGCTGCTTTTCGAAGCTGAGGGCAAATGAAGAACAGCCCTGCTGGTTGGGCAACTCTCTGGCACTTGCAGCTTCTGGAACATCGGTATTTCCTGGCACGGCTCCAAATGTCCGTGGTAATGGAGGCTTTCTCTTTAGCTGCCGGGAAGCCCGCGTACATGGCTTCCGTGACCTCGACGAGACGTCTGTGTGCTGAGCACCGATCGTGCAAAAGGTCGTGAGCTCCGGGCACCCGGTGTACTTCTGGCGATTTGCTTGACGCGCGAGCCTGTCCGAAGAAAATGCGGCCAAACACGGTCAGCTGCTGTGGTGTTATGTCCTCTGGAAGCCGGACAAGCACGTCTGATCTTCCCTAAATTTTAACCCCTGAACCCTGCCGAAGTTCGCAGGATGCCAAGTTCCTTGCCGAAATCCACGAGGTCCAACGCCAGGCAGGCGAGCCAGTTCAGAAAGCTCAATGGCGTCTAGATCTCGCATGATCCAAGATTGGAGTGCGTATTGGTTCTCTTGGTGTCTTCAAAGAGCCTTGAAGGTATCATTGGCTATCATAGGGCCTCAGTAAACGACCGAGGAACAGCTGTCATCTGATGCGGTACATTCAGTCATGCAGTTGTTCACTTCGCGCGACTCCTTGCTTATGATTCTTTCTTGGCCAGGCGAAAGCTTATGAGCGAGGCTGGAAGCAGGCTGCATCGGAACTTGCTTGAGAGCGCGGAATGCTGTCCTGGCGCCTCACCATGATCCCAGGCCGTCCTCGATTCCAAAGAAATGGAGAGCATGTCCGGGTCCCCTGGTGCCTGTCTTTGGCGAGCTCTGCTGCCTTCTCCGACGCCTCTCTGGCGATTCCGGCTGGAAAGCGTCAGTCAACCCATGTTTCCAGCCACGGCACTGCAGAGGGTAGGCAGGTGTCCTTTAACTGGCCCAGAGGCTGAAGAAAGAGCGGCAGCATCGGCAGCAGTTCAGCACCTGGGTTGCATGAAGCGGCTCTGCATTCGCTGCAGATGTGTAGTCTTTCTGGCTCAGTTTGCTCGGTGCAGGTGACTTCGTTGAAGACTTGGAAAAACGCTGCTGGATGCTTCAAAAGGAGCTTTCTCTTTTGGTAGACTTGTTCATACGCGATTCAAAATGCTGGCCATGCATCTTGCGTACTTTAGCATTAGGACCTCCGACTGCAGAGCCTTCCTGAAGTGCACCGGCCTTTGCTGCGGCACCATTAAGTTGTGCCAGCACCCACACCAACCGCTGTAAGCTTGCCTTTCGGTTTCGACTTGTTGGATGTGTGGCCGAGGTTGGCTGCGGAGCGGCAACAGGCCGGATGCTTCAAGGTTTTGCCAGCAGGTTCTGGCAGAGTGGTAGGAAAGGCAAGAACCCGGGCCAGGGGTCGGTTCCTGGTCCCGTATTTGCCCCCTCCTGCCTCTGTGCAACTACGGAGCAGAAGGCACATGCAGGCTTGAAAGCCAGCTGTTCTTTCCTGGAGCGTTGCGAGGCTGCAGCCATTGCACAGAGAGCCGTCGACTTCGAAGACCGGTGCGAAAAGCTTCAGAAGGCCATGAACGCCAGTCTTCAAGCTCGCGCAAAGCAGATCTGGTTCTGCACATTCGCACTGCAAGACCTTGAACCATTGGTTTCAGTCACTACTAGTAGCGGCTGTCTCTGGGCTTCCTGTTCTTGTGTGAGCACTGCGGCTTGTGCGGCTTGTCAGAATCTCGATGACATGCACGTGTACCTAGAGAAGTCAGGGCCTCGGAGACCTAACAAGCATCGGAGGAAGAATTCTGTGCCTTCGCAATGTTTCTAGCATCATGTCGAGTGTTGTAACTTTGGCTGACGCGGGCCTGCGGCTTGGGTGCTGGGTCGCACATAGTGACGCTGTGGACAGAGGGAATCAATCGGAAGCGCTGGGTCACTAGCGAGGTAGAGTGCACGTCAAACTTCTTAGACCTTGCGGCGAGCCAAGGTTGAGCTTGGAGAGTGCGCAAGGTGCCGTGGCAGTTCAGCGGGCTAACGAGATGCAGGAGCAGTACGACCAGCTGTGCCACACCCAGCGAATCTTTGCTTTTTTGTGGCTCTCCTCCTTTGCGAGCTTTTCATTCAGATCTTGCTGGGCACTCGACAGCCTTTTCATCCCATGCACAATCGTCAGGTGGTGCAATTCAGGGCTTTCATGGGCTTCAGTCAAGGGATCTCCGTCACTTGTCCCACTCCGGGTCCTACATTCGCACGAAGAGCTCGTGTTGGTCATTAACAGTACTCGTGGAGAGATGGCCTTGGGCTTCATGTCGCTGGCCGTCCTCCTTTGCCCTGCAAGCAGTAGTCTGCTTCAGCTGGACATTTACGGCTGTCTCCGTGATTGCCCGATGGGGCTGAGTGATGTTTTGAGGATACAGTGATACAGGTCATGAAGAAGCACCTTCTCTTAGACTCCTTAGCAGCATTCACTGGGCCGATCTACCAGCTACCACCTGCAGTTGGATGTGGATCAATAAAACACCTGAAGCGAATGAGATTGACAGTGCCATATGGTTATGCTAAGTTACAGAAGACAGGTGCCACTACATTGAATCTCAGTCACACATGTCCACTTCTGGACGATAGCCCTTCATGGGAAAAGACGGCGGCTGGGGCAAGAAGGCCTGCCCTCACGTGAGTCAGAGCTGTTGGCCCTTGGCATGCTCTGTGCCTCCCGGCCACAAGGGTGGGTACCAAGGCGCCGGTGGGCGAAGACCTCGGAGGGTTCGCGTGTTGAGTACACTCCGACCTGTACGGCCAGCAGGCTCAAAGGCAGCCTTCCCGAATCCCTTTCTCCAGGTCCGGAAAAAGCCATCCCAGCCAAGGAGCATGGCCTGAGGCCCAGACTTTGCGGTCGTGATAGGCAGCCTTGGGCTTCCATGGAAAGCCAGAAGGTCCAAGGATCGTGGAGGAGCTTCGGGCGGAGCTTGGGGTGCGCCCGAGACGTGGAAAGCACGTATTCTAGCGTGACATGGTCCCCCAGAGTCACACGAAGCTTATTGCTCTTGTGGGCAGGCAAGGGTGACCTCAAGGACCCTGCTCGCACGGCCGACTGCCATACGGGCGCTAAGCAGAGACTTTGCACTCATGAGTTGCTGGCACCGAGCTTGAGCTTGCAGGGCGAGAAGGGAGGTGAAAAGGGCAAAGGCAAAAGGGGCCCCGACCCATGGAGCTATGTGCCGCTGTGCTCAGCCGGATCCCCAGTGAACGGACGCCGCTCTTGGTTTGTGGGATCTGTTAACGGATTCTGCGATGCCGTGGCTCCTGTGAACAGCTTTTGTTTCTGACGGTGTCTCGCGTCTATGAACTGGCTTCGCAGACCCTTGCGTCTATGAAGTGACTTCGCAGACCTCCTTGCTGGTCATGAGCAGAAAGTATGATCCCAAGCAAGCACAGCCCATGCAACAGTACAGTACCTTCCACCTGGCATTGAGGGTCCGTCGGGAATCCAGAATGCTATCTAGTCATGACTCATAGTCAGTCATAGGTTTAGCATGGCTTAGCATGCAAGCCCCTTGACTGCCCACATGATTTAAGCCATGGCCAAGCGGAATGCACCAGAGGAGATGGGCTGATATTCAGTTTGCTCTCTGCGCTCTGTTGGATAAGTGCATTGCCCAATTTCTTCTTGACCCTCGCACCGAAGGAGCCTCTGGAAGAGACACCGCTCTTCAAGAAGGCAGGGTCCCCTCATCACCCAGCTGCAATTAGTCTTTCTGCAACGGCCAACTCTGGAATCGCTGCACATGGACTGCACTGGCATCGATATGCGAAGTGTCACAAGCACTCAGCTGCTGCCTCAAGATCCCTTTGCTACAGCAGCTGGCAGGCCAAGGCACTGGCAGCTGACGGTCGCGTTTCTCATGCAGAAGCAAAGGACTGCGTTTTTTGAAGCGACAGACAAGAGGCTCTTGTTGCCAACCTAGCTAGCATGGTGTTTCCAAGCCTGAATTAGCTTGGAAATTATGCTCGGAGTTATGGGGTCAGCTCCGCAAGCTAACTGCAAATCTTGGAAAGCCTTCAAAACGCAGAACAACTGGGCACTCTGGAAATAGATTTGTTCAGCGAGACGAAGTGCACATGAGACACTTCAACGACCGACCGCTCCACGACAGCCTTCCCAGCGAAGGAATGACTAAACCCTCCACAAAGCGCAATCAAGTGTCGCTCAGTGGCCGAAGCCAGGCCGACTAAGCTTTGCTCGTTCGGTCGATGGGCATTTATTTGCTGGCATCTCATCGGGACAGGGGTCTCGGCGGCGACATTCTCTTTGGCTGAAAAGGATGCCTTGCGTCCCGGGAATGATTTGGGCAGATGACGCCCGCAAGGGAGAACACGGGATCCGTGCGACATCTTTGCCAATGCTGGACAAGCACAAAGAAGAACGAAGTGTCAGGAAAGAGCAATGCTCGGATAAGCTTGAGCTCTGTCAAGTACAGGAATGGGTTACGGCAAGGACTCCAGCTCGCGCAACTCAGATTGCCAGTCCCCATCTCGGCAGTTTGCAGCGGGTGCCTCCGTACTTAGTACTTGCTTGCCGCAAGGAACTATGGGCCGACGGACACCTCTCAAGCCGGGACGTGGAAGTTCTGCCTCTTGGAGATATAGCCATGCATGCTTCCACGAAGAGCAAATAAGTGCACCGAAGACTGCCAAGGCGCCATGCGATGCACACCTTTCGCTTTACGTGCCTCGGCTAAAGGCGGTATGAATGTGTAAATTGTGTGTTGCCTGAATGCCGGACGGGGCCGAGGCAGAAGGCCTCTGCCTTCTTGCAGCCCTTATTGCAGAGCCCGCGACGGACGACCTACTATCGCCAAGTCACTGGGAATGCAAGGTCGCCCAGGCGAAGGATATCACCCCTTTTCACGGGGTCAGTCCTGGTCGGCACAAATTCTTCGTCTCATTCTAGCAAGAGCTGCCTGTAACGGTCCTGTCGAAGAGTGCAGTTTAAGATCCGCAACTCGAGTTGAAAGCTTGAGGTCCAGGGACAGCGATTCGACAGACACTCGGCCTGTCCCTATCTTCTTTGTTCAGCCTTCCCTCTGCCCCCCAGTCGTGAGCCTGTGGCCCAGGCCTGGGCACGTGCCGCATGTAAGGCACGTGCGAGGAAGCAACCTGAGTACAGACACCGTCGCAAACAAGGATGTAGCAATGTAGCCACAAAGAAGAAATTGTGGTGCGGAGCGCCGCAGACTTGCTCTTCCGCGGATGGCCCAGCTTAGGAGAGTTGTTGGACATGGCGGAGCGGTACGTAGGAGACGGCCACCTGGCATTCTTCGTCGTATTCTACTTTAGCAATTGCAGCCCCGCAGTCTGAGTCATCTGAGGTCAGATTTCGTATGCGGAGGCATACAGCTTATGGCAAGCGGCACAAGATGGCAAAGGTGTCACAGAAGTTGAGAAGAAGACTCTGCAATATACACTGGCGCGCATGAAATACACCCCGAAGGCCGGAAGCTCAACCTGTTAGCGCAAGAGTCCGCCAGAGTAGCCGATTTCTTTGCCGAATCCTACTAGCAGATGGTGCTGGGATTCGTGCGTGTTGCAGAACATCATGTCACAGATGTATCACCTTGGAGATCAGCTTCATGTTGGGTGCCACTCAGCAGTTTATACGGTTTGAGTTGGGGGCTGGCAGCCTTTCGCGAATGCTGGGTGCGACCGGGTTCTCAGCGAAGGACATCCTAGTGTGCACTAGTAACTAGTAGGTACTGAGATAGCAGCACTTCCCCAAGAAAAAGGAACTCCGAGACTAAACGAACATGCAATCAGCTCGAAGATGCCAAATCCTCTGCGATGGGAGGCTTCAGCATTTTTGAAGCAGAAGCTGAACGGCAGACAATCTGGGATGCTTGATTGCAGTTTCACTCCTTCGAACACGCCGCGCTCTTGCTGACGTCTTCGAGATTGGATTCTGTTCAGTCTTGTAAGGAGTCCTTCCTTCTCAGTCTCAGCCAGGAGTGCAGAGATAGGCTTGCACAGCACTGAGGAAGTCAGCGAGACCCTCGAAGTCTGCCAAGCTCGCCAGCCCGAGCCGTCCGAACAAGCCTTCTGCACCTGTCGAGGTCAAGGCTGGATCATGTGGCTCCAGCTTAGACCGCCCACTACGCTACAGCATCACGCAAGTGACAGGTAGGCAGGTCTTGCCCTACTTGTATCAACAATACCTGCTCCAGCTGAAGCTTCAAGTTCAACCGATACAACACGCCTTCCCCGTCTGAAATTTTGGACTTGTACTCTCTGAGCATGCATGATACCCAGTGAGAAGCTGGTCGTGCACCACCGGAAGGGGGTGAGGGTGCTGCATGTGTCATGTCAATGTGCGACAAGCATTGCCACGCCAAACCTTATTTAGGCTGTGGCCTCTGCAGAGTCTGGGCCAGCAAAGACGGCAGCAGCCAAAGCAGCGGTGCCAGGCAAGGCCAGAAAGAAGGAACCATCTCGAGTGCCCGGCTTAGCATCTGCTGCCTTGGTCTGGCACATGAACCACCACGAAGTATATAGCAACCAGTGGAAGTGCCATTCTGAATCTAGAGCAGTGCAATTCAGCAGTGTAGCAGGGGCATGAAGGCCAAGCACAGAGCTCAACGAACCACCACAGTCTTCTTACTATGAGATTGCATCTCGAAGGACCAAACCGCTGTGCTCAGGTGCTTGTGAAATGGAAGTGGGTCAAGCGGCCGAACTCCCGCTTTCCTGCCTTTCCGGTGGTCATGCCCAGGACGCTCGCTGGTGTGAAGGAAGCGTTCTGAAACCTTTAATGCCACCCCGCAGTAACCCCTGCAGGAAAGAGCATCGCTTTTCCTTGGTGGTTTGCCATCCAATGGGCTGTTATTCCACGTTCTTCCTCGGCCCAGAGGGTCTGGTGAAAGATCTGCTCGTGCCTGGGAGCATTGGAGCTTTCCTTCTGCAGTCGGTTTGGGGCGGACAGAGCCTGTGCAGGTGCAAAGCCGCTTGATCCGCGACTACTGCAAGATCCTTTGTCCTGGACGCTCGGAATTGATGTGCCAAGGATTTCGC